CTCTAAATTGGAGCAAAAGTACTTTTCAGCCTTATTTTAGTCGCTAAAACAATTCAATTTACAAACAAACTCAAAAGCTCATTGGAACATGATTAAATTTTCATCTCTAACGTTGACCACGCAGTTCTTTCATTTAAAAGCAGCAGAAGTTTCGTAGACTTTCTGTGGAAAAAAAAGTATTTTGTTTTTCATTTTTTAGATAACAACCCTGATTTGTATACTGGAAAAAAAACTGATGATACAAAACTTTAAAGGGTTGAAATGTATACTAAAAACTTAAAACGATAATATGTGCTTAATGAACGCAAAACGAGCTTCGAAGTTTTTTTTGCACTGAGTTTATTATATAACTAGTTTTTTTTCTAAACTGTGAAAAAAATTGCATAAAACTTTAAACACTAAAAATAAAAAAACAAAAATGTTTATTTGATGTTTTCTCAAGTTTAGCTTAAAGCAGTTTTTTTCCACAATTTTTGTAACATCATGAAAAATTTGATCGCAAATGGAATATTTTTTGAACAACGGAAGAAAAAGTGGTCCCAAAATGAAATCAAAATCTCTCGCGAAATGAAACAATAAATTAAGTACTTACTATTGTATTCCAGATCGAAAAAGTACGAATTTTGTTTGTTCAGTGTAAGGGTCTCAATTGTTATGAGGTTTCAGTTTAGCGCTGTTTTAATTGAGTCCGGAAAAATACTGAAAAAGTGTTGCTTTTACACAAGGAAAGAAAGGATTTAATGATGTCAAGGTTTTATAGAAAAGTGTTTTGAGTTTTTAAAGTTATTTGATTGCATTCATTTTTTTCTCCAGTGTGTGACAAACATTTTATCATGAATGAAAATAATATGATCTAATTTTTAGCCAAGCTTGTTGAGTCTGGTGAATTCTGGAACAATCTGTTGAATTTGTTTTCGTCAATGATGATCAAAGTGTAGTGTTTTGTCGATTGTCGATTGTCGATTGTTTTGAAGTATTTGGTAATGGGTAAAAGCCTGGGATCAAGCCCTACCCCACAATAGACCAAGTTAAAATCCTCCACCCCAGCGCTTAAATAAATTTAAATTTGCTAAGCGCTGCATGTAAAATGCTGAAAATACTTGAAATTGGCTGAAAAACAAATCCCAACTTAGAACCAAGTTAGCATCCTCCCCCCAAACGGCTTTCGGGGATGATGTTAACTTGGTCCAAAGCCTGCAAGTATTAAGAACCATAATAATAAATATTTTAGAAAAAACTGAAAAACTACAACCGCGACTTTTCATTTGATTTTTCTTAAACTTCAGAAGATATACAATAACAGCAGCTTCGGATTATATCATACATTACAATTGATAGACAACAGTTGTTCAACACAAGACAATTGGTTGTTTTGAGAAGTGCTTTTGGAGTCGATTTGTCACGTGTGGTATTTGAAGGTGAATCCACAAACAGGACAGTTATGGGAGTGGACTTTGCAACTGTCCATGCAAAGTGGTATGCAGCAACACGGCCATAGTCCTAAAAGCGCCAGAAGCAAACACCAAATCCACGCTTCTGTTTTCGCTCGCTTTTCAACGTTAGTTACAACTCGCTGGAAGCAATTCGGGCAGACAACACTTATAGGTCTCGGCCCTGAAGGTACGGGAATTGACCTCGCTATACTAACTGGGCTTTTAGGCGCGGAAGGCGGGAACAAAAGTGGTGACTTAGAGTTATCTTCATCTTTCCGGGGATTGGTTGGGATTTTTGTTGGCATATTCTGCAAAGTTTTTGTACTGTTGTCCTTGAACTCTTTTGCCTGCGGCTGATTTCCTGGTTCGCTTGTGTTTGGGTTTGTAATGCCTTTCGATATGGTGGAATCGGCCGTGAAGTATTTGCTTGTTTCTGCCGATTGTGTTGGAGTTTTGTATGCGCTAACATTGAGCAAAGGAGATTCTGTAGCAACTGAAGATGATCGTCGCTCTTGGCCTTCTTTTTCGGCTCTATTTTAATCAACACAAAATAGCATATGAAAATGATACCGAAACATACAAATGACGCATTTGAATTGAAAAACCGTCCCAAATATTAATCCAATCAATCCAATCTGCACGAGTAGGGTATGCTTTTATCTTAACGATTAGGTGACTGTACCACGTAACACATAAATCATATGAAATCTAAATTAATTTAAAAAGATTTTAAAAATATTACTAAAAATTCTTTTTAAAATATAAACTCACACTGTTGATACTGCTGCGGTCGCGACTGGCGCCACCGAGTTTTCAAAATAACTTCCGATATTTGACCTCTTCTTACCACTTTTTGTCTGTTTTGTTTTCTGAGATTCTGACATTTGAAAAATTCTGTTCACTGCTTCAAATAAAATATGAGTAAATTTGTTCACCGTTTTTGAAGAATGACCTGGTCTTTTCACATTTTTGTGAAAGTTTGCGAAGCAATAACGCTGAACAAGATTTTTGAAAACAAAATTTCTGAGTAACGCTTACATTCTTTTTTCACCCCACCTGTGAATTTTAACAAGTAATTTTTTTGTTCGCATTGTCCGATAGTTACAGAAAGAGCCCTTATATTTTGCTGATAGTTTTTTGAAAGACTTGAAATTTCTCCGCCATGGTATGCAAAAAGAGCTGTAGCAATAAACTTCCGCTCTTAAAAATTGCTCTAATTGGGCGTTCGTTTACGATCAAATATACTTTTTAATTCGTTTAAATCAATAAACTTTGAAAATCCATTCCAATAGTTTACATGGCATGCTATTCGACCCACATGATGCAAATAGTCGCAAGAAAAGATGTGAAAACAAAATTCTATTCAAACTTGGTTTATATTATATTGAGATTGTAGTTTGATTGTTGTAATTGAGGTTTCTGGAATCAGGGCTAGATCGAATTGGGGTTTGTCTTTTTGAATTTGGGCTGGTCGTCCATTCAGATGACATCATATGTCGCTATATCGTTAATCGCACTAGTACTTTAACAGACTGCATATTGCATCCTACTATCTATCATCGAATGAAGGTGGTGATGATGAATGAATGAATCAGAGCCGCCTCTCCTCCTTACTAGCGGGAGGTCAGCGTAAATTCCTTAAAGATAAAAAATTACGTTTCATTTTTACTCGCCGTTTAAATTGTTTGAAACAATCCAACTGTTGTCAATAACCATAACCCTAATCTTATTGATTTTCTCAACAATTTTTAAAATGAAAAATGCGTTTTTGAAAAACTCAATTCCAACTTAGTTGGGCAAATAAATAAACAAATTTGAATACTTTTCGATTTGCACCGATAAGCGAACTTAATAGTTTGATCTTTAGTTTCACAAAGGAAAACCCGCAAAACATTTTAGTCGGAGTGAATTATTAATTTAATCTCACAAAAAATGCCTGTAAATACTATTTAAAGACCAAATTTGGGGAACTTGTGCCCGCGTTGTCCAACCTTATTAGGCTTGTCCTTGGCAGTTTTGAAGGCGAATCTACAATTGGGACAGTGGTGCCTGTATTCCTTGCAACACGAGGCATAGAGAGGGATGAAGACGAAACACCACAGACAAGTAAACCCCAGAAAGCAACAGCAGCAGGTCGCAAAGTCTGTCATTTCCTGATCGACGGCTGTGTCCACCTTCTCTCGACACTTCGGACACACGATACGAATCGATTCGGCTCCGAGAAGAGTCGGGTCCGGCGTGGCGACGGCGCTTAATGTTCTCGGAGTCGTGAGGAGTGAAGACATTTCCGTGTAGCAGCTGGTCCCGCTGGCGTCACCTCCGAGAACCGACTCGGTGTCATAGCCGATTCGAGACTCGACCGAGTCAAGTGGTACGGTCGGCATGTCGTTGGACTTGAATGTCTGGTACTTCGAAGACATCTGGTCGTTGGTTTCCGAGGATCCATATCTACGAAAAAAGCCAAAATTAATGTGCAGACATCCTTTTCTCTCAGGTGCTACTTTTGGTCGACGCTATTCGGTACTAAAGGGCCCTATTTGGTACTATTTTACAACATCCGGTTTAAGTCGATCAGCGTTAAAGTTTTCTAAGAACACTTTTATTAGAGGCTCAATGTACACTAAATCTGAGAAGGGTGTGCGCGCTGAAAAAATAGAAAGAATTAAAGGAAAAAAGGCAACAGATTATTTGGTGGCTTTTCAATGTAATAAAGTGGTCTAAATATCCCTATCAGCTAGATATATATTCATTTTTCACCATTCTACGAAACCAGACTTGATAAAAGATAAACTACTTACCGGCGCACATCCATTGCAGTATCGACTCCGCGCTAAGATTATTTACTAATGACTTTTGACTTTTGTACCTGCTATAAGTTATTTTGATCACCATTTTCTTCCTTTTTTCAATTTCAAAAGTTTTCTATGGTCACACTGAGCTATCGAGTTTTGTAAGAATAATAAATAAAGCTCAAATTTTGCCAATTAGCACATCTGTTCGTAAGAACAATTGAAAAAAAAACAATTCTTCAAACAAAAGTTTGCAAACCCAAAAAATGATCGATTGCGAGATGCTAGGACCAAAGCTTCTATCAAACTGCATCAAGTTAATGTTTAGCGATCATTAATCAAATGCGAAAAAGTTACAACTTACCCACTCATAGGTTTATTTTCCAAGTAAATTAAATGAGCTAAGAAGTGTCAAATTAGATTGAACCGGCAAATTGTGTATGTCTCAAGTGGTTTCAGTTTTTTCTGATACAAATGCTGTCATATCTGATTTTTAACTTTCAAACTGCGACCGCAATTTTTGTTATCATCAAACCTATTGCAATGCATCAATATTTTGCTTTTATAATGAAGACAATTTGAAGCGGCTAATAGTTAAAGCTCTTGCGCCAAGTCAAAAATCGCCGACGATGTTACTGTTGTTGTCGTTGTCGACTTACTGAATCTGAGAATAGAATCAGATCGCCCAAATAGCCGCTATATTGGGCAGTTGACTTCCCACTGCTAATATAGAACAGAAGGAAACTGAAGAGACCTGGTCTGATAGCTGCCAAATCAAATGACGTGAGTTTGATTAAATGTGCAACAAAGGATTATTTAGAGCATTTTGTGAAAAAGCCGTTTTTCTCAAAATTAGTAAAAACAGTACAAAGGCAGAAACGTAAACGTAATCATAAGTTTTTCAGAGATAAAGATTTTTTTCGAATTGAGTGACCGATTATTTATTATTGTTTTTTTAAAATATAAATTCAGACAAAATTTGAATTTTTAATTACCCTTTTTAAAATTTGACAAGAAAATTACTGCAGAGATACCTTAAAAGGCAGTCGCAACTTTCAGGGCTATGGCCTTCTACGAGTTTACTTTCCCTTCTCGTAGTTTTGTTGTTCCGACTTTAAAAGAAAACAGGAAAATTATGTTAGGTGTGGTTTTCAGTCATTTTTTGGCAATCGAAGAAATCTTTAACAAAAAAAATTTATACCCCAATATATCCACTCCCTGAAATCAAATATTTTACCTGCAAACAGTTTTTTCTAAAGTTTTGGGAGTTTGAAAAATGCCAATTTGGCCATGCTCTGGACTTACTTATCGCACTTTGAAGACTTTATCCATAATCCTTAAAGCATAACGCGAATTATTTATGCGTTGAGAATTATCCTGCACGACAAAATTGTTCCAAACTGAATTGAATTGAGGCTGTTGATCGTATTAATTGCTCTCAAGTTTCGACGCCTGAACTTTGATATTGTCCAAAACTTATAGTTTTTCAGCAAGTTATTTCCCCAAAAATCTAATCGATAAGGATTAATAGGGAGTTGGAACTTTCAGGGCTTTACCCTGGTATACAAGCATTCTTGTTAAATTTTATTTCTTTTTTTCAACCAAGCCTTTTAAATTAGCTGGAAAATTTATACAAATTATCTCAGCTAATTTTTTGAATTTTATGAACATAAACTAATTTTTTCTCTTTAATCACATTAGAAACAAGGACAGCCGGTTTTGACCTAAATCTTTAGAAAACTACGGTTTAGAAAGTTTTTTTCCAAATTAGTGAATTTTTTTCTGCTTGGTGTGATAAAAAGATCTGAACGAAAAGTATAATTTAGGCATATTAGACAGTCATTTCAATGTAGACAAAATAGATGAAAAGTTTTGTAGAAAAATGACTAGAAAAACTATAAAAAATATTTTTTTTTCCAAAAACTTTTGCAGAAAATTTTTTGAAAATTTTGAAGTTTTGGTTCCTAAAATGAACCTAAAAAAACTCCAAGAACTAATTTTACTTGCATAAAATTAAGTTTCAAGGTCTTAAATTAGGCATAATTTTTCTGTTTTAAGCCTGATCGCTTGCTTTATTCATTCGAATTAAAGCAAAAAATCAAAATTGTCAAACTCGTTTTCTCAACACTAGAAAACTTTTTGGGCCTTCTTTAATGTGATTCGAATTACGACTTGAAGGGCTTCAATATGATATATCACTCAACCAGTCCAAAATTTATTTGTGGTACCTCCTAATTTTGCGTGGAATAGTCAGAAAACGTGACAATAGCTGTTCGAATACCTCCGGGTTTTTATTTCTGACTGAAAATTTGGCGAACTTTTGACCAGAAATTAGATTAGAAACATAAATATTCGATGCGTTATTTAAACACGAGTTTTTGAAACATTTCATGCGTTAGTGAAACTTGATGCGAAATTAAGTATTTCTTGTCAGAAATACACTTTGTTAGGTATAAATTTTTCAGATACAAGCTTACAACTCAAAAACTAAAGCAAAAAATCACAAGTTTTTTTGCTTAACTGTAGATGCTCAAAATATACCAATTCTCACTAACATTCCCGTACCGTGTTTCGCAGAGCGACGAATTCTTCTAGGGAAAAATCATTTCATTTTGATTTGAGATTAAAATTGTTGTTGATGAGCACAACATAAACGACACAAGTCTTAGACCTGATATTGATTGAAGTGATAATTTTCTTCTTTTTTTAATTACGGGATTGTATGAGGTCAGTTGGAAAATTCAGTTCTCAGAAAGGTTTCATTAGTTACAAAATTCAAACACCACTTTGATGCAGGATATTTCGTTTTTCAGGCTTTTATTTAATTTATTCAAAACATTTATGTCATAGTTTACGGAAAAAAAATGCAAAAAAACTGAAAATAATTTTAAAAATTTTAAATCTTATTGTTTTTTTTTTGTATTCGGGTGTTTTAGTTTTTTGTTTACCAGACAAAATTAGATACCACAAATACTCATCGGAATGGGTCGAGTAATATATCATATTGAAACTCTTTCAGTCATGATTTGAACAACTTCAAAAAATCAAAAAATTTTCCCAGTATTGAAAAAAAAGGTTTAAAGTTTTTGATTTTCAATCTTAATTCCAGCAAATAAAGCGAGCGAGCAAGCTTACAACAGCTTATTTTAACAGCATACTAATCCAAAAATAGCCTAATTTAAACTGTGAAAATTAATTTCAACCCAATAAAATAAGTTTTTTTTTAATTTTTAGCGACTTTTTTAAATCAAAAACTTCAAAAAATCAAAAAAAAATTGTAAATCAATATGAAACACCTTTTGCTAATTTGATAATTTGCTAATTTTACTAAGACCATTGAATATGCCTGAGCTTAAGCTTTTCATTTCAATCCTTTTATCACACCATGCAAAACAAAAAACGACACTTTTGGAGAAAAAAAATTGTTGTAAGTTTTCTTAAGATTATGGTCAGAATTTTCTGTGCTACTGGCTTTCCTCGTTGAATTTTTAGCAACATTTTACCTTGAACAACTTGGAATTCGTTTGTAGTCAGATTAAAATAACTTCTACGAAATATTGGAAAACGAAATATAGTGCGTTTTATTAAATGCAAATGCTGGTATACTTTCAAGATCTTTAAACTCACGAAAAAATGATAGCATGAGAAAAAAATGGTTTCTGGAAGCATCGGTGTTTTTAAGATTGTTAAACTAAGTTTGTCCAAAAAAATTACATCAGTTTTTGAACGCTTTCAGGGGATAACTACTCCTACCATATTTATAAGAATTCTAGCTTTATGGTAATTATTTTGCATATCTTATAGAAAATTAGATCTCTAATCTCCCAAGTTTTGTTGACATAGTTTAAAACTTCTGCAAAAAACTTGTCATTGTCCAGATCTGACAAGGCCATTGGTAGATAGTGAACATGCATCTGGCTACATTACGGGGTTTTTATTGCGTAGTACTTTTCTCTTTTTAATGGCCTGAGAATTTTTTCTTTGAAAATTACTTTTAAAGTTTTTTGTAGATTTCTTAAACTGAATTTAATTTAAAGGATGATTGAAAAGTTTGTGGTTAGGGCAGTAAAAATGTAAAGCACATCAAGTTATGTTTAACATTGCGGGTGGGGGTTGGTTTTTTAAAGTCACTGAAAAAAAATTGAAATAGAAAAAAATATATGTATCTTTTCGTTGCCATCAAAACCTAGTCCAGACTTGAACATTCAGAACTTGACTCTGGAACGAGTATTGTTGTATTGTCTATATTTTCATTTCTTATTTTTTTAGGCCGTTGAAAGTGGATCAGCAGCAGGACTCAAAGGAGATCTATTGTGACGTCATGCGATCGATCACTCTGTCGGAGCCACCCGACGTCAGTCTCCTCGTCTCTCTAAACAACGAGCACTCTCGTCTACTCAGCGCCTCACCCCCCACAGGGAGTTGCGAGAGCCAGAATGTTGTCACCACACCTCCCCCTTTCCCCACCGGGTCCAGTCCGGTGAAGATGATTTGTCCCGAATGTGGGGATTACGTTAAAACCGAAGTGCGACAAGCGCCCACTTTGAAAGCTATTGTTGCATGTTCAATTATGATGGTTCTTTTTCTATGGTGTTTTTGCTGGATCCCGTTATGTATGAAAAGATGCAAAGAAGACGTTCACATGTGTCCGAAATGCGAATTTGCTTTCAAGTACGATAAAAGAAACAAATGAATAGTTTTTTTAAGAAGGAGTTTTAAGAATATGCTATTTATATGACAATCATACACGAAGACTTCGAAGTTCGAGTTATGATTCAATATCGTATCTTTCGTATCATTAAGGTTATTTCAGGAGGAGAGAGAAAGTTTTGATTCGAGTTGCTATCATTTAGTCGGTCTTAGTATGACGTAATCAACCAGGGCTTGGAAGTTGTTTGAGATATTTTTGAAACCATAATTTAGTTTGAACCAAGTTCCGTAATTTATTTTTGACTCATAATAAAATTGCAGTAGCCGACGCTTCACTCACTTGTTTTTGTGATATACATAGGCATAAGTCCAAAAACAGCAAACATTTGCAGAAACAGTAACGACTATAATAGAACAGTATCCTTAGCATAGTGGTTGCCTCAGAATCAGTAGCGGGTAGAGGGGGGGGGGGGGGGTGTTCGACTCCTTCCTCCTCAATTCTGGTTACCAGAGTTTTCCAAAGGGTCCCAAATGAAAAAAAGGTTTTCGGATAGCTCGCAAAATGAAATTAGTCGACCTATAAAAAAGGCCGGCAAAATTTTTCGAAAATCTGCCCCCCTCCTTTGAAAACTTTCTGCACACGCCACTGGCCAGAATGTGTATTCGATCCCTTGCTATGGCAAGGATAATGTATGAGGACGAGCTCGAACTTGACTGCTAGCTTCTGGTCTACCACAGGTTGACTAATCTCGACTACAATAGTGGCACTAAGTGAAGATTCTAGGCGTTGACGAAACAACCTTGAAACGCATTGAAATAGCTTCGCTCAACAAAATATTTCAGTGTGGATTGTGGAAAAATAAGAGAACCAGACTAGGCTTAAGCAGACTTGATAGCCTTCGGAAGAACCTCTACAAAGCATAGAAACCACATAGAAAACAAGATCACTGAATCTAAGAATTGATAATAAACCGACAATATATTTTCAAATTACGCACCCAGATAAAAGAGAACAATCATGCATCTAGTTTTAAGCGTTAATAATAGGTTTTTTCTTATTTTAAGCGTAGTCTTACTAAAATTGAAAAAAAATTATATTTTAATCAATTTATAATTGATCAAAATCTCTTTTTTGAAATCAAATTCTAACCAATTTTAATGCATTTTAGTCGAGTATCATAGATTATTAAGCCATCTATTTTCGATACAAAAATAATTGATTAGAATCGATTATTTTATTCTAAGTTTTTATTTCATATGTTGTGCAGAAAAAAAACCTATTGTAAGCAATTATAATCCCTTTTGTTCGCCCATTTTCCCTATTTTATAACGTTTTTAAATTTTTTGTTTCTCAATTATGCACTTTTCAGGTTTTTTCAAACATCGAACTATCAGCACATTGCTTGAGTGTCATAACTTTTCGGATAAATTATTTTCATAAATCTTTTCGAATAAATAGATTTATTTTCATAGATTTATCTCTATGAAGTTTTTGTTTTGTGGTAGAACTTTGTAGTCAGATAAGTCAAAGTGTGACAACACATTTCACTTCTAATGATTTCGCTATTGACAGAAAAATGAAAAGGATGTTTTTTAAGACATCTATTTTCGGCGCCTAACCCTTATTTTTTTGTAGTGTCATTTTTAACTGCTTTTTCTTTTAATGAAATTGCAGCCGAAAATTTTGTGAAAATAGAGTATTTATGGTACTCATGGGTTTCTCGGAAAGTATCTTTAGTCGACCTGAAAAACGTCTCGATTTTTTCAAATCCGCTTCAAATAATCTTCCAATCGGGTTAAATAAGCTGTTAGGTAGTCTTAGTGGTCTAGGACAACAAGCTGACGGGATTTTAAACCGAAAGGACTTCATGCCAAAGTTTAAACTTTATAAGAAGCTCCAAAAACTTTTTTTTTTCTGTAAAATGGTATTTTTTAAAATTTTAGGCTAGTTTAGTCGATAATGAACGTTATTCATGACAATGAACCCCTTAGGAACGGCATCCATAATTACAACTAAAGGATTCAGATTTGAATAAACTATAATCGCCTACAGCAATGTTTTAATTTTTAATTTTCCTTACATCAATTAGAGGCCTATATTTTAAGAAAAAAGCCAAAAACTGGTAAAGAAAGATTATGAATTTGAGAAAGTTTCACACCAATCTTCGAACTATTCATATTTCATGACTTTTTGAGAAACTTTTTGACTTAAAGTCCCTACAATTTGAAGTCCCGTTGCCATGATGTCCGTCACCCACGCTTAGCTTTCACAATAAAATGCAATATCACCCCCAATATTGAAGATAGAAGTGTTGAGAACTTCAACAGTTTTTAAAGAACAACGTTTTTTGATGAAACTAAGCAAAAAAACTTGTGACGAATATTAAAAATTCACAATAAAAAAAGTTTATCACTGTAAAATCACAAAAACTAAAGAAAAAGTAACAGGCAGCTTTTTTTAGCACGTTCCGACATAAACTGATTACAATTGATATACAACATGTTTTCTAGCTGCATTAAAACAAAAACAGAGGACCGATTGTTTAACAGACCAATTTTTGGCATAAAAATTTTTAAAAAATGAGTTTTTTGATAGAGCAACGTAACAAACTGATGCATGATTGATTGACAGACTCAAAAAAACGCTCAGTCTTGAATCAAGTTTCCATAATTCAGACAATTATTACACTATTTATCAACATAACTATCAAGTTCGAAAACACAGCACTCTAAATTAGCAGCAAAACAAGGATTTACGCGCACAATAACACTCATGCCGAATGGAAACGCAGCGGAGCAAGGGGCGGGAAATCTCCAATGGCGCATTTGAGGTTAGCTTTCTGACTTGCTACTTGTTCTAAGTCTGCTAAAAGGTTGGTCTGCTAAAGAACCGGTCTCCTAAAATCCCTGGCATCACACAAACAGAACGTTTTTTCACTTCTTAAATTGTTTTTATCATAACTCATACAAAGTATATCATGTGATAATTTTTTGCTGACAAGGGTTGATACAAACTGCTGGTAATTTCTGGTGACTGCTTATAACAGTCTGCCGCGTTGCTAATCAAATCAGCATTTTCATTCATTGGTTATTGATCTGATAAAAAGTCACATAATTGAGAGGAGCATTTTGTTAAAAATATTTATGCTTGTCTATTTTTCAATCGTTTGTTTTCCACGCAAAACATCATATCATCAATTCATGAGCTAGGTTTGTAATTAAAACACAAATAAAAATACTTCCATTATGATTTAGTTTCTGTACTTCAAAATTTTTTTCTCGGTGTCGGGAAAATCGTTTTTAAAAGTCTTACTTTTAAACCAAATATGAACATAGAGAGCAGGGATATCTTGATTAATTTTCAGAAAAAAAAAGAGAAGTATTTGTGGAAGCTTTTTGACTGTCTTTTTCACATTTCTCAGTTTGGTGTAGGTTTTTCATTTGGCTTTTGTAAAAACCATTTTCACAAAGAAGTAAGCAACCGGCATAAGCAAATAATTATTTCTACACTCTGTTTAATTGAACTGGGAAGGGAAATTATTTTTTTATTGTAGTTTTCTGTAATATTTTCGCGGTAACCGGTATTAATGGTCAGTATTCACTGCTGCAAAGTGAACTTGAATCAATTGCAAATGATTAGATAACAATCCAAACAAAGATAGACGGTTTCTTTGCAAGTAGCAATTAATGTTCCGACCCCATTCGTAAAATTTATGGCCGAGAAAACGCTTGATGAAGCTTCCAACACTGTTTTTTTTAGTAAAACTAAATTTTTTCAAGCCTAAATGGCAAACGTTTCTCTATAACGAACGTTACTTGATCACTTTACTCGCTAGAAATTGGAATACAATAAAAAATTTCGAGTCTGTTTCCTCAACACGAATTATTCCTATGATTATTCAAAGCACCTGATTTTGCAAAGGGAAGCAAAAAACAAACAAAAAAAACTAAAATACAGCTGAATACAAAATTCTTCCGCAATTTTGGGAAGAAAAACAAACTATACTTTTTGATGATCAAAAAATCAGCTTTGACCTCTACTAATAAAACTTTTTAAAAAATTTTTTGGCTTTTATGAGGTTTATTAGTTTTAAAATCAGCTTTTTGGAAGTTTTTTTTTTCATTTTTTGGTATTTTTTCTCAGATCATTTTTTCTCAAATTCATTAGTTTGTGGCTATAAAGTTATTTCTTGTTCATGCTCTCTCTTTCTTATTAATTGAACGCAGAATTATATTTTTTGATTGTATGCTTTATACTTATTTTTTCAAAAAATTTGTTGATTGTGATTTAAAGAAAACATGCGGGCCACAAAATTCTGTTTAGGCTATATGCATCATACAAATATACATGATAACTTAATTTTCCGTTCAAAACCACTATTGAACATTTTTGTTCCGACTACTTATGAAGAAAGCGAAGGAATATTTGTGCTCAGAGTGGTTTTTTTCTCCAAGCAAGTTCTGACTTTTAACAAGCTATTTTCGACGGGATTCTCTTTTATCATCCGAAAATTATTGTTATTTTGAGCTCAAATTTTGAAACATATTTCTACCTGTGATTATTTTCGTAAAGTTATGGGGGTTTTAAAAATGCCAAATTAGCCTTTTTGGGACAATTAGCGAGCGATATATAACGTGCTATATATCGAGTAGCCGCAGATTTAATATCCCTCTTAGAAACAGTTCCAAATTGAATTGAAATTTTTTAGTCAATTTTTTCAAAAAAGTGCTCAAAACGGCAATTGTACACCACGTAATCGATATTCTTTGCCCAATCATTCTGCAGATATGATCAAAATCAGCGGAATTTTTTTCGGATGAAAACAATTTCAAGCATAAGCGATTTATTCATATTAAACTTTTGTTCATATAACTTTCCAAGCTTCAATTAGTACATTAAATCTTTAAAGCACGTCTGAATGCGGATTTGAATTCGTACAGAAATATTTTTCAGTGCACAATTTTTGTTTTCTTTATTAACTCATTTTTACTTTTTTCATCATTTACCGGCTTTCAATAGCAAATAATTTTAAGATCTCAGCA